CACATGTCCACTTAAACAGATCACTCCATCAACAACAGATGGAAATGCTTCCACTGGCCGTATTGATCTCTTACGCATTAAAGACATCCTTTATTACTAGAGTGGATTAGTCACATAAAGCTCGTCTGTATTTACAGCTGAGTTTGGAGGCTTAAAGGATTCCCTCACTGTACATCCACATCCGTTAACCATTACTGCATCCCTCATACACATTTTCAGAAACGTGACTAATGAAATACGATAGATCTGAACCGAGATATAAAATATTAATATAATGTTCTGACAGGTTCACACTAATTCACCTACAAACACATCCAGCATCATTAACCAGCTTCTGCCCGGTGACGGAGTCTCACAAAGCAGGATTTCTCAGATAATTTAAACAGTCCTTATGGCATGTGTGTGTTTTTATGTATCAAAACAGTCATAAATCATTTTTACTCAACCATTTTTATCCATTAGAATTAAACTGTTACTGTGCCTTTAAGACTGATATATGTAAATGAGCTCTGTTCTGATTGGCTGCCCTGTTTTGCACCTTGTTCAAAAAGCAGTCTGGGCTGAAACACTCCTTATGTCTTCAGTGTGAGTGGGCGGGGCTAAACTGTGGTAGGCTGAATGGGTGGATATATAGAAACAACAAGAAATAAGACAACATCGGCTTCGTTTACAGCTAAATTTACATATGTAGATTACATGGGCTGGGAATAAAAACACATTCAGCGTAGTTTATCCTCTAAACAGGTGGTGTTTGAGCATCTCTTACTGAAACAGCCTGTACTGAGGTGGGTTTCACCTGTAGCTGAACAACCAGCTACATTAGCATTAGCATCACCTGGTTCAGCTCAAAGCACCACAGAGCAATTCTATTGTTTATCTTTGTCACTTCAACACCAGTCATTTTGAATTTGTGCTCTCAGATACGAGAGGGTCATTCTACAGAAACGTCCACTCTTTTATCTCTCCATAGGAGTCTCTGGTGTTACTGTTCCTCATTGGTGTTCCACATAATAAAGGAACACCAGAGACATTTTTAATGAAAAATGCATTTTACTAAATGTCTGCTACAGAACATCAAACCACATGTGGTCAGTCATGGAATATCCACTAAAATATGTAATTTAATCCATTTGTATTCTATTTTTTCACAATTACCTCAGAATAAAGTCGGTCACTCCAGTGACTTCAGCTAAAAGCTTCATATGAAATCATGAGCTAAATGAGAAAATCTCTGATAACTGAAAGACACAGTGGACTCACCATGAGCTTTTCTTTATAGATCCTCAGAAAACAGGTAAAAGGAAGTCGAGTGATGTCATCAGTGTGACTTTTATTTCAAAATAAGAGATTTTTTGTTACACAGTAACACCAGTGACACGAGTCCTGGGGACAACTTTCATTATATATTTTAAATTTATTTGACGTTTTTTTTTTCTTTATGCCATTCAAATCATATATTTCATAGTCACGTATAGATTATTGCGGTTAAAATTGCAGAAAAACGTGTTTAAAAATATGGCCTCAGCCTTTAGACATGACTGTGAGGACGAGCTCTTCTGTGGTGCGTGGAGTTCTAGATAATTGTTTTAAAAACCAATATTGCTAAATTGAGGCTCAAGAAGGTGTAATTGTTAAAATAACTTATTGTTTTATTTTAAAATATAAATAAATTGAAAACCTAACTTTTTTTTTTCCAAGTGTAATTTATCTGTAAACGCTAGGGACACAAAAATGGACATTTCTGTAGAATGACCCACGTCTTTATCTTCTAAATGGGTGTTTTTAATCACCCGCACTGTCAAGTCAAGTCAGGCTTTATTGTCATTCCAGCTCTGTACAAGTTCACAGTGAAACGAAACAACGTTCCTCCAGGACCAACACAGAACACAAGTGCAGAACAATACAATAAACACAGTGCAGACAATACAGTACAGTAAATAAATACAAAAGACTTACAGTAAATACAGAACAGAGCACAGACAGCACACGGCACTGAGAGTGTGTGGAGCTGTGTGAAGGAGGATGGAACACACTATGACATATTAGCAGATGAGCAGATAGCCTAGCATATATGAGCAGAGCAGTCACTGAGGCAGCAACCAGAGCAGCAATACTGCAGTGGGAAGCACCACACGCTCGCGTTAGCTTAGCCTAGCAGGCTACAGCTTAAAGCACTACAGAACAGGTCCGATTTCAGCGCTCCGTCACTCCAACACCGATCAGTTGACTTTGCTCTCACTGTTATAAGTTTTTATCACCTATAACGTAAGAGCACGGTATTCCGTACACTTCAGTATTCCATATGCTTCAGTATTCCGTACACTTGCAAATATTTCTGTCTGTGTAATAAAAAAACACTTTCTTGACATTTGTCAAAGATACATCTGAGACATTATCATATATCCCTTTTTCCATCAAATCGGTTGGCAAGACCATCTAAGCTGGGTTTGGACATCAAATCTATGCAATGTCTATGCAAAATCTATGACCCCCCCAGCACCACACGAACATGGTGGGTGGGGAAACCCAGGGATGCGAATGTGAATGGGGTGGGGAAACTTTAACGGCCAGTTAAAATGCATTTTAGCACGTTTAATCATCATATTTAACACTAAAACGAGTATTAAACAGTGGATCATCACCATGAAACACAGTGTGTTCAGTACTGAGCTGTTAATCTGAGTTTACACCGTCAGCTAAGTGACCTCAGCAGACTCCTTTCAGCTGCGCAGCTTCACAGCACTGCCTCACTGTACTGGGCTTCTTTTTTCATGGTAGCCTCATTCACTGCACACATTGTTTATAATAATTCACTTTTATAATCAGTATAATCAGTTAATGTCTATTTTTATACAATTAGATTTCATAAAACTTCAAATAAAATGCAGGGAAAACACTGTACGGAAAAACGCTCCCTCTGGGGAAGCTGGTGTACGGAATACTGACGACACACACCGCGGACACAGATGACGTTTTTTTCTTATTTCTTTAAAAGTATTGGTCCAAATGTGACCAATCAAAGGGCATATTGGTTGCCAACCAATCATTAAATCGTGTATGACTTCGGGTATTTCCGCAATAACTACTAATACGCAAAAAACGGCGAAATACTGTACGGAATACAGCGCTCTTACGTTACTTGTGATAGCAGAGCATCATTAGCTGTGAGGCTCCAGCTCCAAACACCAGAGAACAGGTTTAAGTTCAGCGTTCTGTCCCTCCAACATCAGCCGCTCGACTTCTCTTCCTCAGAGCTGAGTCATTATCTAAATTAGTGTCAGTGAAGCTTCTGTTAGTCAGAGTCAAACCTGTTCTGTGGTGAGCAGAGCTGGCAGCATGCTAGCTAAGCTAACGCTAACCACATACTCTCCTTGCTATCAGCGCCATTTAATATAGAAAATTGGTGTTAGTTTGAAGCTTTGACGTATATTGAATGGTGGGTTTAAAATCGTGCACTGTTTTGATTTATATGCCGTCCGTGTCAGCGAAACTGAACTTTTTAGACTGTTACAGTTTGAAATAACACAGCAGGATGCAGTGGAACAATACCGACATAAACATAGAACCACATGAAACCCAGACTGGAGTGGAGACTAACTAACTAAACTAACACAGGGTAAAAAATGTGATATGGATATTTAATGTAGTTAAACATTTCTATGTCATTTTATGCATCCAATCGTCCAGCAATACGGTGAAGCAATATACCATCAGAAGGCTTAAAAGCAGGATTTGATTCCCACAAACCAGTTTATGATCCATTATTCACAGCGATTATGATCATCTTGTTTGCAACATGAGCACCGAATGAGCAAACGCTAGCAAATCTGCAACATGAGGATTGTGGCTCTGATTAGACTGAAAACATATTTGACTTTTACAGCTCACCATCCCGTCTGTTACAGTGAACCCTGACTATGATAATAATGGTGATAATAGTGATAATAATAACTTTATATCGTTCTTTTGATACATAAAATGCAGCTTATGCCAACCATACACTAGAAGACTTTGAAAAGGCTCTGACAGCTTCTCACATCTAAAGACAGTGTGTCATCTGTCACAGAGGTTTTACTCACAGATGATTCTACAAAGACTGGGCGTCTTTCAGGGTCACTATTTGCAAGAATTCAACTAGATTTGATAATAATAATGAGTTTGATTTATAAAGCATCTTTCACAAACACAAGGAAGCAACCCACAGCAAAAAAAAACAAAAATCAGTCAAGACTGAAAACTCACAATAATATTAATATAATAATACTATAATATTAAACACAGATGATTTTACCACCTTAAACCAAATGAGCGAGATGACAGGAGCGCGCAACAACTTTCATGATTTGGAAAATCAACCATGAAATCACTTGAAAAGTCGTTTGGCGTGAGGCCGACATAAAAGGGCTTTGCAACATGAACAGTAAAATCAATAACAAAATAACTAAGTAGAATAACTAAGAAATAAGAATGAAAACAGGACATAAAACAATAGAATAAAACAAAGTAAAACAGAAAAATTATTATTTTTCAAAGATCATTTTAACAAAAATCCTAAATGAAACATGATAAATACTAATTATAGACTACTACTACTAACAAAAATACTAATAATAGAAATAATGATATACAATAATAATACCAATCTAAATAAACGTTTGTAGTTATTATTAATGATTGTTCCTGAAGAATATCTGACAGTGAACTGCAGCAGAGCTTTGGTGCACAGAGACACAGCGCTGTGGTGTGAGATGCCACCTTTGCACTCCTTGGCTGAATTGTTTATAAACTGCAGGAGCTGAAAACGAAGTTTTCATCTGTAGCAGGGACGTGTTCGAGATATTATCAATCTCGCTCAAACACTTCTGAAATTATTGAGCACAAACCAAAATATTTTGTGCTGCAGAAGCAGGAGAGCTCAGCGAAGGCTCCATTGGGCTTTACTGAGAAACCCCCTGTGATATACGGACCCCCCGGGAATGAGAGACGCGTTGTTTACTCACCTTTGTGTAGACCCCCCAGGAGAGCTCGGTCTCCGTTACCATGACGACGATGCCAAACATCCCGAAGATCAGGGCGTAGTCGCTCAGGCGCTTGCGCTTCTCGAACAGCGCCCTCCTGTGGCCGAGCTTGTAGCCGATGTCCCTGTTCCTCTTGTGTGGGGCGTTGCACCCCGCCTCGCGCACCAGGCTCTCGCGGGACGCCTTGCCGGGGTCGTCTCCGTTGCCCTTGGACACCACGACCTCGAGGCCGGAGGTGTGGAGGGTCTGCAGGGGCTGCGTCTCCGAGTCCAGATCGGCCAGGTTCCTCCGGGACGCCCCCAGGCTGCTCAGCGGTCTCACCACGCCTCCATTGTACTTGCAGCTGTTCATGGCTATCTGAGGGACCGGGGGGCCGCTGGGGGACAGCGAGGACCGCGACCAAGCATGGCTCAGCCTGCTGGCATCTGGATTCACCTGCAAAATGTAAAAACAAGACATATCTTAGACAAAACAAATGACATTGAGTTAACCTTTTACAGGGGAACTCCACTGATATTTTCAAATTCTCTGCATGATTAAATGTTTAAAATGTAAACGGAGTGGATCAGAGTGGTTCAGAGTGGTTTGGTGTGAAACACTCCGTTCTAGAGAAACTTACCAGAAGTGTTCACAGTGGTGGTGATAGGAACCAGACGTCCACCTCTAAAAGCTCATTTATATGACATAGTTATGACGATATGACAGTTTTGAGACTTTTTTACTACAGTGTATTTTTTCATCTATCCATCGTGGAAGGCACAACAGTCCCCAAAGAAAACGTATTATTTTCCATCATCAACATTCCATATAAACTCAGAAGACTCGTGTAGGTTCACTGGTGGTTCTGGATAGTAAATAAAATGTCTATATCTGTGTTGTAGTCATGGTGACCCCTGGTTCCTATCACCACCACTGTAAAGACATCTGAACCATTTCACACCAAACCACTCTGAATCTCTCTGTTTACATCTCGCACACTGAATTATGAAAGAATTCTTAAAAATCTTAAAATTCACACAATAAAATTCCATTTCTGCAGGTACTCGTGGTGATCAAGTAGGTCAACGTTTATAAAAGTGTTGTTATTGTGTTTAAATGCTGTATGTTTATTGTGTCAGTTTGTACATGTTAGGATTGTACAGGCTTTATTATGGCACGGCCATCTGTGTGGAGAGGTGTGAATAGTTTTTCACAGCAGGGGGTTCTCACCCCTCTTTCACTCCTCATTGCTCACTAGCAGCTCAACAACATTTTACACACAGAGACAACAGAGTCCTGGTTTATCTGATAACTGATTTTCATTATGCTGGTGGAATGGCCATTAGGGGGCACTGCAGAAGGAGGTTAAACTCTGGGGGCTGTATTACAGAAACTTTCTATCTTTTTGTCTTAAATTAAAGTCAAGATAAGATTTTTCACAAATTCGTATTAGAGAAGCAAATCTGGTCTTAATTTAGGAATTTTATCTTATCTTATAGCATCTTATCTCCAGTTAGGAAATCTTAACCTACTCAATCAAAATCAAGTCAACTGTCATCTCTGTTGCCTAGCAACCGACCAGACAAACACACAGCTGAAACATAAACATGCAATCAAAATGATCAAGGTAGTTAGGCAGGCAGCTAACGTTACTGATGAACAAAAAGGTCAAACAGAACTAAAGTGTAATAAACTGTAAGTAGTGAACACTGTGAGAGCGCCCCCTGCTGTTTTTAGAGCGCTGCTCCCCAGTTTCAGTCTCCATTCCCCAAACGCTTTAGCCGAGCGCGCTAACGTTACTCCTCCTAATAAACAGACACACGTTCAGCTCCGCCTCCTCATTATTCACCACCATCACTGTAATATTTCATCATCAACATTAACACACGAAGGTGATCAGAGGGGCGGTGGAGATCGAGTCTGCAGCGTCTGAGATCTTTAAAACGCAGAGTTAGAAAAGAAAATCATCTCACAGTGAAAGCAGCGTTTTACAGTAGAGATAAATGGAGCTCATTATGCTGGTAGTGAACTATGCTGCTGACTCAGCTGCCTAAAAACCATAGAAACGGACCTTAAACAGAAGTGAGGACCCTGTTGGGGTTCATCCTAAAGTTAGGACAGGATTTAGGAGGTTTAGTCTAGTTAGGATGTTTGTGTGATGCTGTTTTCTTATCTGGAGTTCATGATGAGATTATGAAGTTAGGAGCTGTTATTCCGGAACAGATACTGTCCGAAATTCAGTCGTCATGGAGACCAAACACATCAGGTTTCAGAGTTAAGATGTTTCTGTAATACAGGCCCAGGTTTATTACTGAGTTATTAATCTTAAAGTTACAGTGACTTACTCAGGAACTTTTATGAACATTGTTTATTTTAAATATAAAGCGCTCTATGATGCTCCGTAATGTAGATGGTTCCATATAAAACCCCTTTAGAAAAGGGTTCTATATAGCACCAAAAAGGGTTCTTACGATATCAAGCTTGTTACATAAACCCTTTTTGGTGCTATACAGAACCATATACAGCACATTCTCCATCAGTCTGAATGACCCTTTCACCATGCAAAGATCCATTTCATCATGCAAAGGTTTCTTTGAGGGTTCATGGTTCTACACAACACCAACAACTTTACTAAAGAACCCTTTAAAAACCATCTTCTTAAGAGTGTATGGTAGATACACTAACCTGCACATCTCACCTACAGCCCAACACAAAATAACAGTCAACACATACCACATTTAAAAACAACACTCTCATAGAAGAACCCTTTTTGGTGCTATATAGAACCCTTTTCTAAAGGGCTTTTATATGGAACCATCTACAGCATAATCTCCATCAATCTGATGAACTCTTTCACCATGCAAAAGGTTCTCTAAGGGTCCTTTAGTAAAGAAACTGTCTCTATATAAACCAGGAACACTTAAGGAACCTTGTGCATGGTCAAAGCGTTCTTCAGGTTGATTGGAGAATTTGCTGTAGATGGTTCCGTATACAGAACATTCTCTGTCAGTCTGAATTAATCATGCAAAGGGTTCTTTATATAGAACTCTATATAGAACCATTTTCTTTACTAAAGAACCATGATTTTTAAGTGTGTAGAACCCTTTAGAAGTCTCCTTCTATGCCGATGCCACAATATCATGAAAAAGCACAATGTAAACAAACCCACAGCAGAAGAACCGCCACCTTCAGGTGAGACGCAGTAAGAAAAGAACCGTTCTATCAGTGAACTTGGCTCAGTTTTAGAGCAGCATCACTAAAAAGACTGGAAATCACAGCGAAAAGCTTTGAAGATTAAAATTACGGCACTTTGAAGTTGAAGAGGAGATCGGCTGAAACGGCGCAGAGAGTTCACCACAGCAGCGTCCCAGACCCACAAACCCCACAGCTCCACACTCAGACTCACAAACCCCACAGCTCCACACTCAGACTCACAAACCCCACAGCTCCACACTCAGACTCACAAACCCCACAGCTCCACACTCAGACCAGCAAACCCCACAGCTCCACACTCAGACTCACAAACCCCACAGCTCCACACTCAGACTCACAAACCCCACAGCTCCACACTCAGACCAGCAAACCCCACAGCTCCACACTCAGACCCACAAACCCCACAGCTCCACACTCAGACCACAAACCCCACAGCTCCACACTCAGACTCACAAACCCCACAGCTCCACACTCAGACCCACAAACCCCACAGCTCCACACTCAGACCAGAAAACCCCACAGCTCCACACTCAGACTCACAAACCCCACAGCTCCACACTCAGACCACAAACCCCACAGCTCCACACTCAGACCAGCAAACCCCACAGCTCCACACTCAGACCAGAAAACCCCACAGCTCCACACTCAGACCAGCAAACCCCACAGCTCCACACTCAGACTCACAAACCCCACAGCTCCACACTCAGACTCACAAACCCCACAGCTCCACACTCAGACCAGCAAACCCCACAGCTCCACACTCAGACCAGCAAACCCCACAGCTCCACACTCAGACCAGCAAACCCCACAGCTCCACACTCAGACTCACAAACCCCACAGCTCCACACTCAGACCCACAAACCCCACAGCTCCACACTCAGACTCACAAACCCCACAGCTCCACACTCAGACTCACAAACCCCACAGCTCCACACTCAGACCCACAAACCCCACAGCTCCACACTCAGACTCACAAACCCCACAGCTCCACACTCAGACTCACAAACCCCACAGCTCTACACTCAGACTCACAAACCCCACAGCTCCACACTCAGACAAGCAAACACTCAGACCAGCAAACCCCACAGCTCCACACTCAGACTCACAAACCCCACAGCTCCACACTCAGACTCACAAACCCCACAGCTCCACACTCAGACCAGCAAACCCCACAGCTCCACACTCAGACTTACAAAATCCCACAGATCCACACTCAGACCAGCAAACCCCACAGCTCCACACTCAGACTCACAAACCCCACAGCTCCACACTCAGACTCACAAACCCCACAGCTCCACACTCAGACTCACAAACCCCACAGCTCCACACTCAGACCAGCAAACCCCCACAGCTCCACACTCAGACTCACAAACCCCACAGCTCCACACTCAGACTCACAAACCCCACAGCTCCACACTCAGACTTACAAAACCCCACAGCTCCACACTCAGACTCACAAACCCCCACAGCTCCACACTCAGACTCACAAACCCCACAGCTCTACACTCAGACTCACAAACCCCACAACTCCACACTCAGACCAGCAAACCCCACAGCTCTACACTCAGACTCACAAACCCCACAGCTCCACACTCAGACTCACAAACCCCACAGCTCCACACTCAGACCAGCAAACCCCACAGCTCCACACTCAGACCAGCAAACCCCACAGCTCCACACTCAGACTCACATAGCCCACAGCTCCACACTCAGACTCACAAACCCCACAGCTCTACACTCAGACTCACAAAGCCCACAACTCCACACTCAGACCAGCAAACCCCACAGCT